CACGTGTCCTTGTATATTGGTTCCTGTTGTTCAGGGTAGATGCCTAGAAGTGGTATGACTGGGTCGTAAGGGAGGTCAATCTTTAGCTTTCTAAGGACCCTCCAGACTGCTGGCTTTTAATCAAATCCTCAGATCTCTGCCTCCTGAGTAGCTAGTGTTCCAAGTGTGAGCCACTAGCACCCAAGTACCAATTCAGTTTTAAAAGGATGAAACAGGTGATGGTCACTGTGAAACATACCAGGGAAGTTCAGAGCACCTCACAGTGAGCACCACATGCTCAACCCATTTCCCTGTACCTGTTCATCATTACGCATCCACCCATCATTCTCCTTATATTTTGATCTCTGCAAACTTACAAACATTGCTGACTTTCTCTGAAAATACTTTACCATGTATATTATTAATTAAAGCTCAATTTCTGTTTACATTTTTTATGTAAAATTTACTAAAATAATGTTCACAAATCTTATTTGTAATGCTGAGAGTAGAAAGAGGAAGGTGGATTTGCAAGGGATGACAGAACCCAAGGAATGGCTTAGTGGGCATCATCAGTGGTGGCCTGGAGGATAATCTGAACATCCCTCGGTGCCCAGAAGGAAGGAAGTACATCTCTCCCCAGCATAGTGTGAAGGTCTGAGTGAAACAGAATTTTAAATAAGAAGCAGAGACTCAAGATATAACACCCAAGATGTCCAGGTCTCAATAAACATCATTCACTATACCAAGAATTAAGAACCCTCAAACTGAATCAGAAAGACATTCAATAGATACCAACACTGAGACAATAACAGATGGGAGGGATTACCTGCAATAATTTGAAAACAGCCCATAAAAAAAGGGCTTCAAATAACTTCGCTGTGCCTAAAACAAATTTACATACAGAAATAAAAGTCTTAGGAAATCAATAAGAAAATTGCAAAAAAAGAAATTAAAAAAGTATGAAGAATAACCAAGTAGAAATTCTATAACTGAAAAATATAATGACCAGACTAACAAAACAAAACCAACCATCACAGTCCCTGGATAAACACAGTATCGAAAAAGAAAAACAAAAAATAATCAGTGAACTTCAAGATGGGAAAGAAGCAAGTGTGCTACTTAAATAACTAATGTAAAATAGATGGAAGAGAACAAGCAAAGCATAGAGCTTCAGGTAGCTATGAGACTTTAGCAAAAGCTTTCACACTCATACCATCAGATTCCCAGAGGACAGCAGAGTTTGAAGAGCATACTCCTGGAAATAATGATAATTTGACATGCAGATTTAAGATGCTGGGCAAATCTCAATGAGGTAAACCCAAGAAACTCACTCCAGACACAACATAAACTTCTAAAAAGTGAAAAGAGCACATGTTGAAAGCACTGAGAAACTACACACACACACACACACACACACACACACACACACACACTCACTCACTCACTCACTCACTTCACTTTTGGGAAAAACAGCTTGAATGACAATTAATTTCTCATCAAAAACTACAAAGGCCAGAAGGAAATGACAACATATCTTTCAAGAGCTAAAAGAAGCAGATTTCGAGGGCGCTGGTGGCTTATGCCTGTAATACTATCTATTCAGGAGGCTGAGATCTGAGAATCATGGTTCAAAGCCAGTTCGGGCAGGAAACTCTGTGAGACTCTTATCTCCAATAAACCACTAGAAAACCGGAAGTAGTGCTGTGGCTCGAGCTGTAGAGCACTCACCTTGAGCTGAATAGTGCACGGACAGCACCCAAGCCCAGAGTTCAAGCCCCATGACCACCACCACCAACAACAAAAAAAGAAGCAGATTTCTATATCTAATGAAAAGATCCTTCTAGAATAAAGGAGAAACAGATATTCTTAGATACCAAACATTTTAAATATGTTGTATAACATCTCAATTTGGAAATCTGACATGAATTAGTTTTATAAATCAACTTCTATGACTTTTGACATAAAAGTAAGTCCTACTATTTTAATATGCTATTAAAAATCAAACTCTAAGCTGAGCATGGTGATAAATGCCTATAATCCCAGCCCTAGGAAGGCTGAAGCAGGAGGATCATGGGTTTGAGGACAACCTGGGCTCAGAAAAGAAAAAAAAAATTAATCTCTTCTTGGTCACTGATGACACCTACTGGTTCATTAGTGGAAGTGTTTTGTGTAGAGTAAAAATGAGGATTACTATTAAAGCTCCAAGTTCAGAAGGCAGGCAGGCAGCGGGCAGGCAGTTGGAAGATTTTTTCTTATTCTGGGAATTACAAGTACTCTCAGTATGAGCAAAAACAATCCCATGTCAATTCCAAGCCTGTTCCTCTTCCAATGTTCCAGTGCTCCCTCTCCCATTGAATGTTGCCACCATCCTACAGATGTGGAAGTCTGAGCCCTCATATCATGCTCAACAATGCTTTCTCTCGCTCCCTCCCGGGCCCCCCTCTCCATACCCAATCTATCACCCAATTGTGTTAATTCTTAGCTCTTACACCTGTTTCCACAGCTCTCAGATCCCCTAAGTTGTAACCATCACTTCTCATCTAGTTATACTTATGAAGCACTAAGTACATTCCACATATGGTTCTAAGGGCTTTACTTAATCTTTACACTGACAGGTAAGGAAAGAGAGTTAGGTCAAGTTCCTATCTTGGAGATGACACTTGGCTGGCACTTGGCCACTAAACTATACTACAGTCCTCCAACGGGCAATCTGTCAAATGCTTTTTTCTATATGTTTGGAAATGTCCACATGATTTCTCTTCTTTGTGCTAATATAGCAAATTACCAAATTGATTTCAAATGTTAAATGTTGGTTGCACAGGTATGAATACTTGTGTTCTTGAAAGATGATACAACTAGTCATGATATATTGTGCTTTTTTTTATATATTGCTTAATTTTGACAACTTTTTGTGTAAGAACTTAGCTTCTATATCCATAAGGGAAGGGGCATTGTAATTTTTCTTACTTCATATTTTGGTATGTTTTTCCCAGCTTTATAAAATGAAAGCAGATTCTCCTTATTCTTTGGAAGAACTTGAGTGAGATTAAAGTTGTTCCTTTCTTAAATTTTAGGAAATCACTAGTGAAGGCTTTTGGGCTTTGACTTAATCTTTCTGAGAAGATCCTTAAGTTTTCATTTCTTTATATTTTTTCTTTCCATTGCTTTTTCTAATGCCAGTACCAGGAGCTTAACTGAAGGCCTTGAACTCTTGATTTTCAATCATGGCTAGTACTCTACCACTTGAGCCATGCCTGGAGTCTGATTTTTTTTTTTCTGGTTAACTGGAGATCAAAGACTTGATAATTTTTCTGCCCTGACTGGCTTTGAGCCATGATCCTTAGCTCTCAGTTTCTTGAATAGCTAGGATTACAGGTGTCAACCATGAGCACTCAATAAGTTTTCATTTCTCTAGCGAAGTATTCATTTCTTCCTATGGTCTGTTTCAGTAAATTATGGTTTTTCAGGAAATTATCAATGCTTTCAAACTTATTGATATAAAGTTGGCTATAATATCTCTTTGTTGTCCTTTCACTGTCATTAGGATCCATGATAATGTCTCTGTTTCTATGTCACATATGAGTAATTAATTTTCTTCTGTCTCCAAAAAATTTCTTGAGCTGTTTCATTAGCCATATTTCAATTTTATTAACTTCTTCAAAAAATGAACTTTTGTTTTTTCTCTTTTGTTCATTTGCTTTCTATTTAACTAATTTCTACTCATACCTTTATTATTTCCTCTCTACTTTCTTCAAGTTCAATGTACTCTTCTATTTCATGATTCTTATGTGGATAGCTTAGGCACTAATTTTAAATCATGCTTTGTAGTATATGCAATTACAGCTATAAATCTCTACCTGAGCACTGAGTACTTTCTGTAGGTGAAAAAAAAATCTTGAGGATCTGATCAATGGGTTACTTGTGATGTACAAACATCACATGTTCAGCAACTGAACAAAGCAGGGGGCTCCCTGTATCATCAGACTAGTGTAGGTATACTATCAGATGCTTACATGTGTAAATACATTCATATGTATGTGTGTATATAGAGAGAAAGATAGTGAACATGTACTAAATTATCAGTGAAATGCAAGTGAAAACCACAGTGGGTGATACCGAACTATATGCTCTGTACATGAAACCTATCTTACATATGGTAACAAAGATAGTTTAAAAGGAGAATAGAAAAGCTACCAAAGATACTAAAACATATTAATGTCAAAAATACATATTATATAGTATCTAGGGTTAGAAAAAGATAATATCTGCTTAATGCAGAACATATTGAATATCTAACATTAACTGATGTGTTTTTGTAATGTGGCAGGAGGATGCTCACCTTACTACCATCGAATAGACAGAGGCGAACATGCCTGCTGAGAACCTGGATGCTTGTTCCAGGTAGAGGAATCATTTTACAGCTCCACAGGGTCACAATCAGTGAAACACGACTTGGCCTGGACCTAATCTGCAAGAAAAAATAGTTACAACAAGACTTAAAAAAGAAGATAAGGAAACATTTTACACCAGCATACACATATGAGAAAAGTGCCAATACTCTGTTTACTCAGTCAAAAACAGTAATTACAGGAAAATTTTCATAAAGTTGTATTTGAGACAGTTGCATTTTTGCTTCTGTTTAAAAACTACAATGCAGAGGCAGAAACATTAGGCAGATTACATGACCTGATCATGAAATGACTATGTTTCAGTTTCCAGATTCCTAATGATAGAATGTGTGTGTGTCAGTTTAGACAATGATTACAGCAAGAACCAAGACACAAAGCCAGGCACTAATGGCCCAAGCCTATAATCTTAGCTACTCAGGAGGCTGAGATCTGAGGGTCACTGTTCAAAGTTAGCCCAGGCCAAAAAAAAATCTGAGTCTCTTTATCTCCAGTTAACCACTAAAAAGCCAGATATGGAGCTGTGGCTCAAGTTGTAGAGTACTAGCCTGAAGCAAAAGAGCTCAAGGACAGTACCCAGGCCTGAGTTCAAGCTCCAGGACTGGCCAAAAAAACAAGACACAGACCACTTATATGACTCACTTAACTCCTCCTCTTGTGTGGATTCTAAAAAATTATCTCCATTCCTCCTTGCCTCTTTATGTAGGTAATTTACAAAAAGAATATATTGACTGCTTGATGAGATTTTTCAGATCTGTTTCACAGACAGATCTGTACTCTTAGCTTGTGAATAAATAAATTGGCATCATGTCTATTTATTGTTAATACCATGGACTAGATAGAAGTTTGGCTCAAGGGGGAGAACAATAGTCATGAATGAAAAAGCTGAGTGAGAAGTCTTAGGTTTAAGGCCCAGTACTAACATAAACATACAAAAAAAAAAACAGTAAGAAAAAAACAAGTCCCCCGTCCAACTTCAGTTAGGTAACTTTACATTTTACTTTATAATTATGAGCCCTTTCATCAAAAAAATTATACTGCTACAAAAAGGCCATATCTAATAGCTTCTTATGTTTTAAATTTAAAAATGAAAGCTGAATATTTTTCTTTGGGTACAAGAAGTTCATGCAATTAAATGACATTTATTAAAGTATAGTATAGTAGTCAAGATATAATATGTTCAATGACTTGCAACTTGAGACACTTAATACTCAGAATGCTCCAGGTAAGGATGGGGTTGACAGGAAGGACATTAAACTTTTACACCAGTCTTGCCACAACCCTGACCACACACTCCTGTGCTAAAGGCTATGGAAAGAATGAGAGAGAGAGTAGAAGGTAAATAAGAGCAGTGATGTGCTCTGATGTAGTTTATATCTGCTATAAACACATGCAAAGTAGAGGAAAATATGAAAGACTCTGTGTGTTTTGTTTTTTTTTGACAGTGCTAGGTTTGAACTCAGGACCTCACACTCCTAGGTAGTCTACTGCTGAGCCACACCTCCAGCAATGAAGAGTATTTTCTACTTCAAATACTGGCACAGAAAAAATCCTTTATTCTTATTTGAAAGTGCTACTTTCAAATTCTAATCACAAATTTGTCCTAACTTACTCATTCCTACTTAATGAAAATGGCAATGACTATTGCTACTACTAATGGTGATGTTGATGATGATGATAATAATAGTAATTAGTAATAACACTATATTAGTCAGCTTTCTACTGCTAGAAGAAATATCTGAGCTAACTCAACTTAATGTTTCAGTCTACGATCAGCTGGCCCAGTGCTGTTGGGACTGTGCTGACACAAAGCATTATTGGGAAGCACATAGTAGAGTGACATGCTCACTTATGACAGCTGGGAGGCCAAAAGAAGAGAGGAAGGGACTGTACACTCAGTCTCTCCTTTAAGGAGCTCCTTTCCACTAGGCCCTGCCTCTTAAAACTTCTGCCATTAGCTGGAAACCAGAATGACATAGGCCTCTGGGGAACATTTATCCAAACCATGGCATTGATTAACATTTACTGAGTTCTTACCATGTGCCAGGGATTGTTCCACAATTTTATGCATATACTGGAATTTTCACAAGTTGGTGTCAAAAGTATTATCAACCCCTTTCCATTAATTAAGAAACCGAGGAAAGAATGATTAAGAAAGAAACCTACTATTATTTCTTTTATCATAATGGGAAATGAGCAACAGAAAAGAGAAACTAGATAAAGTTAAGGTGCCAGTCCAAGTTTTGCCCTAGTTATGAAAATACCACTGTTTCAAAATTACAATATTGAATCAAATAACTTTTTGTTTTCTAAAATGCACTTATCAATTTACACTGGACTCTATACTTGTACCAGGATGAGGCCTGGAGAAGTGGTAATCTTATCAATGTCTCAAGGATGGTCACTGAACTTACGGTGCCTGTTTCAGCATCCCACAGTAGATCTCTGAAGGCCAGCTGGGATGCAGTGAGCTCTGGTTGTAAGAAGTAACTTGCTTGAAACTGATTTCCTGTAAAAATAGTTTTACCCAACAAAAGAGGAATGAAATTCAGCCCTCCTCCCGACCCCACAATGTCTACAAAGTTATTCAACAAACTTAGGAAGCAAACACTTCCAAAATGCCACCCTCCTCACTAGGAATTCAATTTCCAAAATAGCCTGCCTCGCTCATATTTTTTTAAAGTACAAAATATAAAGCTACAAACTGATGAAAAAAATCATCTTAGGAAACCTGTAAGAAAGATCTTGAAGATTTTAGGCCAATTACATGCCTCATAATAATGATGCATTCCAATACTCTGGTAAAAATGAAGGAAACTGCACTTTTTAGAGAATGTAGAAAATAATACAAAAATTGTTAGCTTTGTTTACTAACACGAATGTTTTATATTACTCTTCCATAGTTTACTTATAAAGAATACTTCTTATAAAATTACTTTTTAATTCAAGAAAAAATTTGTCCCTGCTTTGTCAAGTGCTAGGCTAGGAGCTAGAAATACAACGGTGGATTGGGGAATGATGTCTCCACCCTCATTAGCTTCCAGTGGATTGAGGGAAATGATAAGAACTAAGAAGACAAGTAAAATCTACTAAGGCTGCTCAAATGAATGGGAGTAGGGATGAAATACAGTTCCCAAGGTGGGCATCTCCGGGAAGGTAGACTTATCCTGAGAGAAGGATGGGAATAATCCAGGCATTTCAAGGAAGAATCCTGCAGCATAGGCAACCTCAAATTATCTCTATCCTGGATCACTGGTCAGGTGGATAGAAGATACCCCACCAACCCTCAATTCCTTTAAAATAAGCTTGTAGACAAAAGCTGTCAAAATACTAGTACAAATAGGAAATCGAAACACTAAGTAGAAAGTCTTGATATAAAGGGCAGATAAAGGAGTTTGGGCTAGAATGGGCTGGGGTTTGGAGATGGTTCTTTTTTCTCACTCCTTTCTTCTTCTTCTTCTTCTTTTTTTGTTGGTCATGGGGCTTGAACTCTGGGCCTGGGCACTGTCCCTCAGCTCTTCAGCTCAAGGCTAGTAGTCTACAACTTGAGCCACAGTGCCACCTCCAGTTTTCTGCATGGTTCATTGGAAATAAGAGTCTCATGGACTTTTCCTGCCTGGGCTGGCTTGTACTGTGATCCTCAAATCTCAGCCTCCTGAGTAGCTAGGATTACAGGGGTGAGCCACTGGTGCCTGGCTACTTCCCTCCCTCCCTCCCTCCCTCCCTCCCTCCCTCCCTTCCTTCCTTCCTCTCTCTCTTTCTTTGCACTGGTTCTGGGACTTGAGTTTGAACTCAAGAACATTTAGCTTTTACTCCGCTTTTTCACTCAGAGCCTAGTGGTCTACAATTTAAGCCACATCTCACTTCTAGTTTTTTTGATAGTCAATTGGAGATAAGAGCCTCAAGGAGTTATCTGCTCTGGACAGCTTTGAATCAAGATCCTCAGATCTCAGCCTCTTGAGTAGTTAGGATTACAGGCACAAGCCAAGAGTGCCCAGCTTGGGTTCTTAAAGACTGATATTTGGTGTCCCGGTGAGACTGATAGGGGAATGAATCAGTAAGAGAACTTGATAAAGGGAGGCTAAAGATACAACAAAAAGCTGATAATGAAGGGAGTCACTTTTTTTTTTTTTTGGTCGGTAGTGAGGCCTGAATTATGGTCCTGGGTGCTGTCCCTCAGCTCTTCAGCTTAAAGCTAACATTCTACCACTTGAGCCACAGTGCCACTTCCAGTTTTTTCAGCTTATGTGGTACTGAGGAATCGAACCCAGGCTTCATGCATGCAAGGCAAGCACTCTACCACTGAGCCTCCTTCCCAGCCCACAGGAGTCACATTTTTGAAAGAAGAAAAGGAGCTAGAGACCAGAGCAGAAGTAAATAGATTGGCCTTTAATAGGTTCAGGAATCTTTGCTCTCAGCCATAGGGATGAAGAAAAGATAACTGTTGGTTCTAGTGTGGTGGTTTATACTTGTAATCCCTGCTCCTTAGGAAGCACAGATAGGAAGGATTACAGTCCAGCTCAGGCAAAAAGATAACAAAAACCTCATATCAATAAATAAGTGAGGTATTACAGGTGATTCCTATCTGTAAACCCAGGCATACATTGAAAGATCATGGTCCAAGGCAGTTGGGGTAAAAAGTGAGACCCTGACTGAAAAATAACTAAATTTAAAAGGGCTCTGGAAGTAGCTTAAATGGCAGAGTGCCTACCTAGCAAGCATGGTCATGAGTTCAAAACTCCAGGATCATAAAAAAAAAAAAAAAAAGATGAACATCCCAAGACAGGGAGGTGAGATTCAGCCTTGTCCTCCTCTTGTTTTGGCTATAACAAAAAAAAGTTAAGACTTCAACCTTCATTTCTTAGCTACAATTGTGTGTGTTACCTTCCTCCAGCAGCCTGGAAAGAGTAGAAGGCCTGAACCCTGTGGGAATCGCTCCCATTGTGGTTAATACATCAACTGTGTTTATCTGCAGAAAAGTCAAAATAAAACTAATTTGCTTATTTTCATTCACATTTCCTTGCCTTTCCAGGGAAAACAGTTCAGTATTGAAGGACTGAGTCCTGCCTTATTCCCCAGGGTCAAGCAAAGCACCAGGTGTGTGCTCACTTGCTCAGTAGGCAGGTCATTCTGACCTTGGCCCCCAGGAGACAATAGCCCTCACCCCCAGCTTCCCCTCTGGGCCTGGCCAAGGATATCGCCCTTGATCCCAAGGAGACCATAGCCCATTTTTTATTCTCTGCTTCCTTGTTAAGCCCTTTATAAGCCCACCCCAAAATCAAGTCCCTTGTACAACCTCCAATCCTCTGGGAATGTCTGTGTCCCTCACTGTTCCTCAATAAACAGTCCTCAACTGTTGATGATCAAATCTAGCCTATTCCTTTTCCATTTTCCCTTTAAGTATTACCCTCACTTCTGCAAGGACGGTACCCTCAGGATAGCCTATCCTAAAGACGTGGGCTGCAAAGCTGTGTCTTAGAGTAGCTGCTTTATGTACCTCTTGTACCTCTAGGTTCCCGCTTGGGTCCTGCTCCAGAGTACTGTCACCTGACACATGAGTTAATATGCCCACAGTTAATAGTGCTGAAGAACAAACTGGGAGGTAGTCTGTTTCTGTGAACAGGTATGTCCTCACAAGTCAGTAGAGGAAAAAGGAAGGGTACTTACTAAACTGTTCTGGTGATTATTAAAAGGGTACAGGGAATATTCTCATTTTATTTCCTTTTTTTTTTTGGTCGGTCATGGGACTTGGACTCTGGGCCTGGGTGCTGTCCCTCAGCTCTTCAGCTTAAGACTACCACTCTGCCACTTGAACCACAGTGCTATTTCCAGTTTTCTTAATGGTTTATTTTAGATAATTGTCTCGAGGAATTTCCTGCTTGGGCTGGCTTTGAACCTCGATCCTCAGATCTCAGCCTCCTGAGTAGCTAGGATTACAGGCGTGAGCCACTGGTGCCCGGCTCATTTTTTAAATGATAGGATTCGGGATAGTTCTGACTTTCCTGAATTTTTCTGAGAGTAACTGACATTTAGCATTAGCCTATGAGAGTAAGTATTTAATTCTACTATGAACAAGCGTAGGCCTAGTGAGAAGTGGTAGTGGAGCACAGTGTGGCTGGAAGCAAGTGACTCATCATCTGCACCAGCACAGCCCACACCCTGCACCCATTTTACCATCTATTCTGTCTTCTAGTCTCTATCCTGTTTTGAATTTGAACTCAACCAGAACAAGCAAGTAACAAACCATTAATAAGACTGGTGATACTGACCTCAGAGACAGCTTTCTGAACAGCATTCCAGTGGGAATCAGTTCTAGTGAGAGGAAATGATACCATGAGTTCAGGAAAAGATTATGCTATCCACTCAATGGGACACTTGTGGTCATTTATCAAAGGTCAAAGTACACAATCACCCATAAATCCTCTAGAAGCCAAGCTAGAACTCAAGGCACTAAAAATAATTTCATCATTAAAGTAGTAGTCATCTGTAGAAAAACAATAATAGAGAAAGCTCTCAAGATGTAAGTTGTCTCTATTTCAGAAAAGACTTATTATTTATAATTTATTATAATTATTAATGACATATTTATAATTTAATAATGTACTTTTTTTTTTTTTTGTCGGTTGTGGGGCTTGAACTCTGGGCCTGGGCGCTGTCCCTCAGCTCTTCAGCTCAAGGCGAGCGCTCTACCACTTGAGCTACAGCGCCACTTCCGGTTTTTCTGGTGGTTTATTGGAGATAGGAGTCTCACGGTCTCTGTTGCCCAGGCTGGCTTTGAACCGCGATCCTCAGATCTCAACCTCCTGAGTAGCTAGGATTACAGGCGTGAGCCACCAGCGCCCAGCTTAATAATGTACTTTTATAACAGTAAAAACAAGCAAGTACAAATTTTTCTGCCCATAAGGTGGTATAATCCTAGCACTTGGGAAACTGAGGCGGAAGGATCAGCAATTTAAAGTCTGCCTTAACATAATGAGATCCTGTTTTAAAAACAGCAAAGAGAGCCAGGCACTGGTGATTTACTTCTATAATCCTAGCAACTCAGGAGGCTGAGATCTGAGACTCGTGGTTCAAAGCCAGCCCAGGCAGAAAAGTCCATCAGATTATTTCCAATTAAACATTTTTTTTTTTTTGGTCATGGGACTTAAACTCTGGGCCTGAGCGCTGGTCCTTCAGCTGTTCAGCTCAAGGCTAGTGCTCTAACACTTGAGCCACAGTGCTACTTCCAGTTTTCTGGCAGTTTATTGGAGATGAGAGTTTTACAGCTTTTTCTGCCTATGCTGCCCAGCTCCAGTTAAACATTTTTAAAAAGTTGGAAGTGGAACCATGGAGTAGAGTGCTAGCCTTGAGAGAAAAAGCTTAGGGACAGTGCCCAGGCCCTGAATTCAAACCCCAGGGCTGCCATTAAAAAATAAAAACAAAAACAAAAAGCAGGGGCTGGGAAGGTGGCTCAGTGGTAAGGCATGAAGCCCTGGGTTCATTTCCTCAGCACCACATAAGCAAAAAAAAGCCGGAAGTGGCACTGTGGCTCAAGTGGTAGAATGCTTACCCTGAGCTGAAGAGCTGAGGGACAGCACCCAGGACCAGAGTTCAGGCCCCATGACCAACCAAAAAAAAAAAAAAAAGTGTCCTAAAGCTACAATGATGTCCTCTCAGACCTTTGTACCTTTGCTTAACTTCAGCTCCATCTGTTGTCTTGTCCTCCACTTCCACATCCTTTTCACTTTCTTTTTCACTATCCTCTTCACTGGGCTCTTCACTAGACTCCTGATCTTCTCTATCACAGGGCTGGAAAACCACGAACACAGGAAGTACTTTTCAACTACTGCACATATCAACCAATAAGAACACTAGGACTGAAGTAAGATGGGAGGTTAGTACAAAGTAGACTAACATTTTCAGCATGTGGGTGATAAGTCTTTGAGATTTGAGAAAATGATGAAGGTAAAGGTAGATAGCAAGATAACCAAGATAAATTCCACGTGGAATTTGCTCAAATAGAAAAACATAAAAACATTAGAAGAAAATAATCTTGGCATGATGAAACCCTTTTTCAATTATGTTATCAAAACCCAAATCCCCAAATGGAAACACTGACACTATAGCTAATAAACAATTACCCAGTAGGATGTCAGCAAAGGAAATACCTAATGCAAATTTCTAAGGGGTAACAACTTTGTTATTATAATACAACAAATTATCAGTAAGAAAAATATTTTTTAAGATTCCTTTGAAAAAATAACCAAAACACTGTAAAGGCAAATTACAAGGTAAAGGAAAATGAAACCAGCACGCTACCTCCTTAGTAGTATAGTAAGCACATATGCAAAAAATGGGATGCATTTGTGGATCACACTGGTAATAATGAAAGATTATTCACAATCAGAACTAGCAAATATAGGGGGAAACAGGTATGCTCATCTGTAGAAGATGGGAAAATTGATTGGCAAAATCAATAAAAAAATATAAAGGTATAAAGCCTTGTAAGCAGACATGTAAGGATTCCTCTAAGAGAATGATCAGACTGGCAGGATGGATGTGTAGACTGACCACAGCAAAGGTGCTGGTTGATACCACCAGCTCTTCAGTTCTTCCTCTGCAACCCAGTGAGCCAGAAGAAAGATCATAGCTTCCAGGCTTGCCGCTAAGTGTTAACCAGTCTGTAAGCTGGACAGGAAGACACATTTGGAAGTTTTCTGTGCAATTTCTAGGAGCCCTTTAGCTCAAGCCTTTTGATACCTTCACCTTGCTTCCCTTTAGCCATTTAGAATCATTAAAAGATCCAGTAGGTGACTTTATTCACCAATTAATTGACCAGAGAATATAGCTTAATAGTCCCTATTAAAAATGAAAAAGGTTTGTAGGAGGACAGCAAGATATAAACAACAAAGACTAACCTCCAGGTATGTTCTGGGAATGAGACCTTCATTTCCTTGGGCATTCTTAGCTATCCACCAACCATCTGGCTTTTTTTCAATTATAAGAAGAATTTCTCCTTTCTTAAAGAAAAACAAAGTAAAAGTTTTACAATAAAACTCAATAGTCATGTGTATTACTTTGTGACTAGTACTTCAAAATCTATGCTTCTTTTCTGGTGGGGAGATATAAGGAGTGACTCCAAGGCCTTGTACATATGCTAGTAAGTGATCTATCTCAGAGTTATATCCTCAGCTTTTGTCGTTTTTCTTCATCCATTATTTATCCTACCTTTTATCAAAAACTTTCCTACAATACTAACTCTGGATCTATGTGACCATAAACAAGTTGTTCCTTTTGGTCACTCAGCACATGTTTAAAAGAGTATATGCAAATGAGAGTCACTTTTCATAGTCATTTTGAAGGCCCCATGTTCCTTCCAGCAACTTGATTCATTATTAAAATAGTTTAATTTTTAATCTCCTGTTAGAAACTGTTACTCAGAAGCATAAGAAGAAGAAGAATAAATCTATTGTGTTAAACAAAGGTTAAATAAACCATATTTGGAAGCAAAAATAGTAGTTACCCAATATATCCAACCCTAATTCATGTTCAGTGTGACATTAATCCATGTATCAAAACACAATCCACCTTTGAAGAACAAAGACTTAAAATACTGCTAAGGACATTTAAAAGAAAAACCATCCTTAGAATATGCATTATTATCTAATAAGGATGGCATTTTCCAAGAGTATTTGAAAAAAATTCTATGAATTAAAAGTTACATAATATTCTCACACATTTTTATTATTAATCAATTGAAAGAGAAGCATAAGAAACAAAATTTTATATATTCACTAGAATTTCTTATTCTTTTAGTTATCAGAAAACAGTTACACAATCCTTTGAATACCACAACTTTTATATTTTCAATCCCACAGGCCACTTAGTAAGCATGGATACAAGTCCCTTACACATCCGAATCAATAGAAAGAAGTGCTTCTTTTATAGTGAGATGATTCTGAAGTCTGGTACTTGCCAGGTAGGCACTCCACAACTTGAGCCACCTCTAGTTCCTTTTGAGTTAGGTTAGTTTTCAGATAGGGTCTTTCTTTTTGTCTGGGGCTAGACTTATGGCTCAAGTGGCAGATCACCAACTCTGAGTAAAAAAGCCAAGCAAAAAGGAAAGGTCCTGAGTTCAAGCCCCAATACTGGCTAAATCAGTCAATAAATTAATAACAAAATTTAACCCCTAACCAGGAATTATCAACACCAAAGATATTTTCAAAACCTTTGGAAGAGCTAACTTTAATAAAAGAATTTCTTTATTATTCCTGTGGCTAAACTGTAATTGTTACTTACTTAAAGAAGCTGAGTCTTAAAGAGCTTAATATCAGTGACAAGGAATATCAGTATATAGGCAGAGCTTTCTTATTCTGTTAAGTATGCTCATTTGCTCTAACATAGATTACAGATTTATTCAACCTACCTTAAATGTAAGATCCCCAACTTGCTGAGCAGTAAAATCTCCAAGAGCAATGTATTCTTTACTTGATGCTTGTTTGGGAGACTCTTGTTCCTTTTTTTCTTCTTCTTCCTCCTCCTCCTCATCTTCATCTTCTTCCTCTCCACTACTTTCTTTGCTTTCTTCACTTTCCTCTTCATCTTCTCCAGGAGAGTCATCATCTTCCTTGTTCTTATTAAGTGCATCAGTTCTACAGAAAGCAATTCTATTATTAAGATCACAAAATAACACAAAAACAAACCAAATCTAAGCATAATGTCTACATGTAGAAGAGTGGTTCTGCTGGGTGCTAGTGGCTCTTTCCTATAATCCTAGGTACTCAGGAGAGTAGTAAGATCTGAGAATGGTGGTTCAAAGCCAGCCCAGCAGGAAAGTCCATGAGACTCTTATCTCCAACTGACCACCAGAAAACAGGAAGTGTCTCTGTGGCTCAAAGTGGTAGAACCTTATCCTTGAGTGAAAAAGATCACGAACAGCTCCCAAGTCCTCAGTTCAAGCCTTACAACCCTAACCAAGGAAAAGGAAAGAAAAAAGAAAAGAATGGCTCCATATCTGGAGCTGGCAATTAAAGAAAGAAAGGGGAAGTACAAGTAATAGTTTCTTTTTTTTTTTTTTGGTCCGGTCGTGGGGCCTGAACTCTGGGCCTGGGCGCTGTCCCTCAGCTCTTCAGCTCAAGGCTAGCACTCTACCACTTGAGCCACAGCGCCATTTCCGGCTTTTTTTTCTTTTTGCTTATCTGGTGCTGAGGAATCGAACCCAGGGCCTCAGGCATGCAAGGCAAGCGCTCTACCACTGAGCCAACTTCCCAGCCCCACAAGTAATAGTTTCTACTGTCTACATGGGCATATGTGACGAGGGACTAAGGGTGAAAAAGTAGCTGGGCACTGGTGGCTCACACCTGTAATCTTTAGCTACTCAGGAGGCTGAGATCTGAGGATCACAGTTCAAAGCCAGCCCATGCAGAAAAGTATGTGACTCTTATCTCCAATAAACCACCAGAAAACTGGAAGTGGTGCTGTGGCTCAAGTGGTAGAGCACTAGCTTTGAGTTGACAAGCTCAGGGACAGCACCCAGGCCCAGAGTTCAAGCCCCAGAACTGACCAAAAAAAAAAAAAAGGAGTAGGTGAGATATCTGAGTATTGCCCTGGATCTGAGGCAAGGAGACCCATATTCAAATCCTGTACCATTCATTTAGCAAATGTTGCTCAATCAGTGTTACATAGTACTTAGAGCAGGAGCACTGGGATTAAGTCTAGACTCTGATTCTTCCTTGGGTAGGTTTCCTACAAGCTCTCCATTTCTCATTGGTAAAGTCAGGATAATAGAGCCTACTTCTTCAGGCTGTTATAAGGTTAGGTTGAATTATTACTTGCAAAGTATTTAGAACAATTCCTATCCACAGTAAGCTTTCCCTCCAAGCCAGGTATGATGCTAATGAGGCTGTATGCCAGCTGCCAGGTGAGACTGGTAAACCAGACACAATTTTCTGCCCAAAGGAGCTTACTTTGAGACAGTCGAGGACAGGGATAATTCCAACGTTGTTCTCCAGGTACCACCATCTATGGTGGTGCACATGGATTCTAAGGGGTCACATGAGGGATATTCAACCCAGGTTGCGCATGTGCACGCAGACGTGTGTGTGTGTGTGTGTGTGTGTGTGTGTGAGGGGTGGGGTGATCAGTAAAAGCTTAGAATTAGGAATGAGTTGGGAGTCAGGCAAAAAAAAAAAAAAAGGAGTCCAAAGAGGGGGAGAGGAAAAAGGAGGTTCAAGGCTAAGTGACTAAATGGTGGGGCAAAGGTTGGGGATAACAAACAAGAGACAAAGGCTGGAAGGAAGTGGGCAGAATATAGTCCACGTGAGTTTCATCTTTAAGGTAAACCCTAAAAATGAAGGAAGGAGAGAGGAAGGGAGGAAGGAGAGGGGAAAAAAGGAGGGCAATATGGAGGAAAGCGGGAGAAAGAGAGGGAAAAAGGGAGGGAGGGAGCAAAAAAGCATACTCATTTGTAGGTTCTCTACTCATGCCCATAGCAAGTTCCTGCAGCTGCAGGGTGAGCCTGTCCAGAATATTCTGCTCTTCTTCCTTTCTCTGCTCATAGTTTCCAACAGGTGCAGCTTCATCAGCCTAAGAAAGAATATGGGTCTGATTCACTGAAAAATTAATTGTAACTCTATTTCTTTAATTGTATTTATTTTAGTAGTTTTAAAATTATATTTACATTTTATCTTTTTAGAGACTTGTAATTCTTTTAAAACTCCTATAAATGTTATAAGACAAACTAACTAGCACATGAGATTAGACTTGCCCTAGGGAAAGAAGTAAGAGCCTAGAAAATGTAGTTTGAATGGGAAAGCAACCATATGAAGTAAACCAGCATCTCTGGTTTGCTTTGTTTTCTTTCTGAGCATGGCAGCTCCCCAATCAGTCAGGGGCAAAGCTGGATAGAACACTGACTTAGAGACAAGATGCCAAGTGCCAGCCCCCCGCCCCCCCCCAATTCTGCCACTTACTGACAGGGAGACAAAGTGTCTTCCCCTTTGAGAATGTTCATTTCCTCAGCTACAAAAAGGGAATAATCAGATTTTCAAACTTAAGTGTCAGTGTGTCCCTACGTTGGGAGAAATTCAAATGCAATACAATACAGGGCTCTGATCTGGACAGGGGGATGACATTCAGGTATCCTCTACTTGAAATGCTTTGTGATCTTTGTCGTGGGCTCCTCTGTTCAACATCCCATGGGACTGACAGGGCTAATTTTTGTCTTTGTTTTGTTTTCATTGGTACTAGAACTGCCACAAGATACAAGTCTTTACTACTTACCCTCAGGGCCAGGTAACATATTCTCCCCACAGTGGAATTACAATAAAAACACTTCCCAACTGTACAGCACACAACTTATACAATACAAACTTTTTTTTCCTTTATTTTTCTTTTTGTCACTTGTGAGGCTTAAGCTCTGGGCTGTCCCTGTGTTCTTCAGCTCAAGGCAAGTGCTCTACCACTGGCGCCACACCACCATTTCTGGTTTTCTAGTGGTTTATTGGAGATAAGAGTCTCAAGGCCTTTCCTGCCTGGGCTGTCTTTGAACTGTGATCCTCAGATCTCAGCCTCCTGAGTAGCTAGGATGACAGGTGTGAGCCACTGGCGCCCAGCCAATACAAACATTTTTTGTGGATTTTCTGAGTCCTCCATCAGAATAAACTAATAAGAGCTGGATGTCTGGCTCTTCTGCTCTGATGCACATGCTTAGTAAGTCTGCCAGGCAACTCAGTGCTGACTTTATCTCTAACGTAAACTCAGGAGCATAGTGATTTTAATTCATTCCCATTTGATAAAAATACTAGTATAAAAAGAGTTGTTGTTTGGTTTTGGTTTTGGTTTTGAATATGGTCAAGTATAACTTACTTTGTTCAGTTTTTGAAGAGTAGTTTTATTTTCATCTATTGCCCGTTTTAACTGGATACATCTAAATTTTTAAAAAGAAATAAAATACAATGAAGTTTTTTTTGTTGTTGTTGGTGGCCATGGGGCTTGAACTCTCAAGTGCTCTACTACTTGACCATAGTGCCACTTCCAGTTTTTTCTGCTTATGTGGACTCTTGCATGCAAGGCAAGCACTCTACTACTGAGTCACCTTTCCAGCCCACAATGAAGTTTATATTGGCAGAATTTGAAAGCTATTTTACAAAATCATTCACAGTGTCAGCAGGCAGGGCAATAAGCCATTGTATGAATATTAAAATTTACATGTAGCCAGGTGCTGGTGCTCATACCTGTAATCCTAGTAACTCAGGAGGCTGAGATCTGAGGATTGTGGTCCAAAGCCAGCCCAGTCAGAAAAGTCTGTAAGACTCTTATCTCCATTAAACTACTCAGAAAAAGCTAGAAGTGGCTCTGTGGCCCAAGTGATAAGAGCACTAGCCTTGGGCACAAAGAGGCTCAAGGACAGCACTCAGGCTCTGAGGTCTAGCTCCAGGACCAGCAATAAATAAATAAATTTAATTAATATGTAAAGGTATTTCTACCTATACTAGAGGACCCTTATTGCCAGGTCCTAGACAGGATAACTCAGACTCAGAAAGCTGCAGTGACTGACTCCAGGTATTTCTCAAGGAAGAACAATGTCTACAAATGCAGGCATCCCAAGCTCTGCAAGCAGAAACTGGCCTTGGAAGTGACACATGTGGTCCCAAGCATGATGTTAAGTAGTTCCCAAGCATGGTCTCAATGAAGCCTCCAATCAACCCTTACACTTTAGGAAAGTAAGCTACTAAAGATGGCAGGATTAGTCCATGGTACAAAGCACTGAGCAGGATTCACAGCTGTTATTCCAAGCACAGCTCATCCAGTTGCATTTAAAAAGCAAGTGGGGAGGGGTAAGAGACAGTGGAAAAAGAAAGGAAAGAAAGGAAAGGAATGAAGCAAGGAAGAAAGGAAGGGAAAAAAAGAAAGAAGGAAGAAAGCAGGAGGGAAAGCAAGCAAGCAAGAAATCCTCGAGTAATCTCTATGCATTAAATGCTACTCATTGAAATGTCAGTGCAGTTCCTGGAAAGCACATGTAACAGTACACTTTACCTTTGATAAATATCTCGCCTTTTATTGGGGTCTAGAGCTCCTTTCGACTGGCCCTCTGAAAGCAAACTATCAACCTACAATGAAGAGACACAATTTAATATACCACATTTAATATCATATTGCCTTAAGGAATAAAATTTTACTTCTCTTTCTTCTCTAATATAAAATGGATATTTTTTTCAGATGCCTTATTCCTTTTAAAATGATATTTTAAAAGGTACAATAAAGCTGAAAGCAATTCACAGAAAATACCCACTGTTTACATTCTGCTATTAACACATTACTACATTTATTTAATCTATCCATTAGTCCATCTTATTTTACATGCATGACAAGATAAACTTCAGCCATCAATACCTTCTCTGTAGGTAATATACTTTGAGTGTTACTAGAGAATAACTCAACCCAGTTGCAAAATATAGAAAATTACTCAAGGCAGAGGATCATGAGTTAGACAGTCCCTGAAAAGTTAACAGGACCAATCTCAAAAAATATATATATGAGCAAAAGAGCTGGAGATATAGCTCAAGTTACTGAGAACTTACCTACTTTGTGTGAGGCTCTGGGTTCAGTCCTCAGTTAAAGAATAATAATAACCTACAAAGTTCCCTCTGCCTTTTCCAATATATTCCCATCCTATCTCTCCATAGACAAACCTAGTTTACTTTTTTTTTCATTTCTTGGAGCTCATTTTGATAAATATTATTTTATATGATCAGAGGCACACAGACATTGTGCCTTTGTGCTCCTTCACCTTATTTGATTTTTTTTTTTTTTGGTCATGGGACTTGAACTCTGGGCCCGGGTGCTGTCTCTCAGCTCTTCAGTTCAAGGCTAGCGCTCCATCACTTGAGACACAGTGCCAGTTCCAGTTTCCTGGCAGTTTATTGGAAATAAGAATCTCACAGACTTTCCTGCCCAGGCTGGCTTTGAACTGCGATCCTCAGATCTCAGCCTCCTGAGTAGATAGGATTACAGGTGTGAGCCACCAGTGCCCAGCCCCTTGGTTGATTTTTTTAAAATTTAGAATTAGTTTTGCCTGCTCATGAACTCTATATAAACGAAGTCAAGAATTCTCTTGTAAGAAACCCCTCTCATGCCCCCACAATCATCCATACTATTGTATCACTAATTTACTCATCATTTTTGTTACTCAGTAGAATTGTCACCCAGTATGCAATGTATTTACAGAACTTTGTTAATTTAACCACAAAATTCGCACTTACTTCTTTGATTTCTCTCCTATAGATTGTATTGAAAAGACAAAGTGAGTGAAAAAGAGAAATAAAATCCCACTAGCTTTTCCTCTATTCTTTAATTTATGGTCAATCAAGAATTATGTACAAAATGTACACATCTGGTAAGTCATTACAGGTATTACACAAATTAAAAGCTGAGTCCTTGTTTCTCACCTCTCCTACCCTGGAAATCTATTCTTTTTTTTTTTTCAACTATCTGCTGTTGAACAGGAAAGAATTAGCTAATGGTATCCAAATGAGTATCATTTCCAGATTCTCAAGGTAACAAAGGTTCCTAGTCAATCTGTCTCCAGATTGAGTAGTCTTGTTCTGTTTTCACTTTAATAATTAAAAATTGTTTTTACATATTTTTCTGAAACTTTTCCTGTGTTTATATCTCACTGAATTTAAAATTATGTACATACAGAACCAGATTAAGACCCTACCAAACTCATCATAAGTCATGCTCTACCAACTTAATTATTTTATTTATTTTTGTGGTATGAGGGTTTGAACTCAGGGCCTTGTACTTGCTAGGTCAGCTTGCTTGCTTAGCTGGCACTCTACCAATTGAAGCATACCTCCAGCCTGAATTTTTGTTGGTCATGTTGGAGGTAGTCTTACAGAGTCCTTTGCCCCATCTGACTGAAAATGATGAACTCTAGATCGTAGCCTCCTGGGTAACTAGGATTATAGGTGTAAACCTATAAATTTTATTTTTATTTCTAGGAGAAGAGAATATTTTGCTTTCTTGGACTATGATGATTCCAATAAAAAGTCGCTTAAATATTTTTCTGCCAAATATTTTGCCTTTTTAAAAAGCTGAAATTCGTTTTAACTGTTATATAAAAACTTTTGAAGTTGTACATATTTCTGGGATACCATATGATGTTTCCATAAACAAATACACTGTGTATAATGTTTAAATCAAGTTAAACATATCTGTCTCCTCAAATATTATCATTTTTGGTGAAAACATTCAAGTTTTGTACGTTCTAAGTAAGTATAAAGCTGGATAAAATATGAACATCAGTAAATCTCTCATCTGTCAAAGATATAAAATAGTGGTTTTTTAAGTGGGAAATACCTGGTAATAGACTGAATTTGAATTTTTGGGTGGTTCTGGGGCTTTGAACTCAGGGTCTCTAGGCTTAGCTAAGCAGGCACTCTTACCACTGAGCTATGCCTCCAGCCCTGGTTTTTGCTAGTTTATTTTTGAAATAGTGTTGCTTCCTATCCTGGATGTTTCCTGGCAGCTAGAATAACAGGCTTGCATTAGAGTACAGCTCTTCATAGAGAGGGAATCTCACCAACATTCTCTGCTTGGCTAGCCTCTAACCTCCTTACCAACCATTTCAGCCTACCAACTAGCTGGGATTGCAAACATCAGCCACCAGTAACAGGCTAGTAGACTGCATTTTTTTAAAAGTAAAATCCCATAAAGTGGAATAAGAATTTCAGAAGGTAACCAGTTATTTTTTCTTACTTTAAAAAGTAATAGCCATTCAACTAAAAAGTTTTTAAAAGCCAGAAGAAAAATAATAATCATTAACATTCTGCCATGCAGATACCACCGTGACATAGCATGTTTTCTTCTTTCTTTCCTATGATATATGTGTGTGTGTGTGTTGTGTAAAGTGCTCTGTATATTCTTTTTTAATATTTTACCACAAATATTTTCTTTAATACATTAAAATCTCTAATAACAGTTAGGGACAGTACCATTACATCTCAGTGTAAGCTACTAATCATTCGATCATATTTTTCCATTATAAACCAGGTTGCACATATTTTTATACCTAGATCTCTGACTCAAGTTTTAATGATCACATATTGTAGATTCCTGGAAGTGTGATTACCCAGCCTAGGAGCATGAGTATTTACTGGGTCGTATCAACCCACATTTTTTAGGTGCTGTGTCTTATTGCACAGGAGCAGCACCTGCTTCAAGTCATGTCTTTCCCAGGTCTGAGTACTATGACTTAAAATCTTTGCGACCTTTTTTCTTTTGCAAGTAGCTCCTTACATTTCAAATTAACTTTTATGCTTGTATCTTCTCTTTATTTCACGTCCTTGACTCAATTCGTTGGATCTTAATGCTTTTTTTTTTTTTAACATTAAGGCTATTCCTTGACCCTTACTGCGCTTGAGTTCCAAGAAGTAATGACCGCCTGCAGTGGGTGAAGGCTTTGGGGCAGGAGCCGTGGACAGCGAGAGAGGCGCTGGGCCAGGCGGGGTGAGGCTGGTTACCGCGGCAGGTGCGGCCTGGGAGATGGAGGGTTGGGAGACGTGCTTGGGTGGGAGGTGGGCGGTGGGGAGAGGGTGCGAGCTGACGGACATGACTTGAAGACCTTTCGCCTGCGTCCGGAGTTGGGGAACGCGACAACTCGGGAAAGGTCTGCGGGCTGCACGCGTGGGGTCCGAGGAGGAAAGCGCCCGCACACGGCTGCGTCCCCCCTCCCGCCCGCCCGGGCCTCGCACGGAGGAGTCCGACCCTACCTGTAGCTTCAGTTCCTGACCGCGCTGCCGCGCCGCCTGTAGTGGGTCCCGCCGCCGCCGGGCCAGCATCTCTCGCCAGGACAGCCCTGCTTCCGCCGGTTGTCAGGGAAACCAGGGCGGAGACGCCGGAAGATGACGCAGTCCCTGAGCGCCCGCCCCCCGGCCCCGCCCAGCCAGGAGACTGGTGGCGGGAAGTGTGTTGCAGCCTTCATTCCTGGGTCGAGTCGCGACCCCCAAGTCCTCAGCTCTTAGTGCAGACTCACGTCCCAGGACACTCAAGTATCACCACAAAGTGCCTGTTGGGGAGTACTCTGTTTTATGCTACTTGTTTTCCGATTGCCAGTTTTGGTAAGCTTAAGAAACAATTCGAGCATCTTCCTCTTTCATTAACTTCAAGGAGAGCTTTACTATGGAACTTTTGTGGGATACATGGTTCTGTTATGCATTTCAAAGCTATTTAAAATTCTTTGCGATTTGGGATATAGAAGTTTCTCTCCCTCTGAATTCTGTGAGTGGGTGATTCTATTGACAAGTCTGTGAACAAATAATGAGTTGTCATGTCGGTTTACTTGGAACTCTCAGAAACGTGGTAATATTTCAGGTGAGAATATACCTACCAATCCAATTCCCAAACACAGCAAAACTAGGCCAGGGGCTGGTAGGTCATGCTAGCTATTCAGGAGGCAGAGATCTGAGGACCACAGTTCGAAGCCAGTCCAGGCAGGAAAGTCTGTAAGACTCATATCCGGTTAAGCCAGAAGTAGTGCTTTGGCTCAAGTGGTAGAGCTTTAGCCTTGAGCAAAAGGAGCTCAGGGACAGTGGCCAGGCCCTGTGTTCAAGCCCCAGGACTGGCAAAACAAACAAAAACTGGATTGAATAAGAATGGTGTAAGCTGGGCTGGGAAGGTGGCTCAGTGGTAGAGCGCTTGCCTTGCATGCATCAGGCCCAGGATTCAATTCCTCAGCACCACATAAGCAGAAAAAGCCGGAAGTGGCACTGAGACTCATGGTAGAGCTTAAGAGCTGAGGGACAGCGCCCATGCCCAGAGTTCAGGCCCATGACTGACCAAAACAAAAAGAAAGTCTGAGCTTTCACCCAATCGATGAATTGTAGTGGCTGTTAAGGTCCCAGACTGTGTGAGAAAAACTAAGCCAAGAAATTGACCCTTTACCAAAAACAAAGAGAGGCCATAAAGGGAGACCCTAAAAAATTTCACCAGGATTTCAGTGCTATCTCATACCCTGCCTAATTAGAATGGTGCCTGCCACATTGTGTATCCTCCTGTAGCTGTCTTGTAACAGCCCCCAGCTTCAAGCATGCAGGGGCATATGACATTATGTTTCTAGCATGTACAGCCCCCATGAGTAAGAATATCCACCTGCTTTGTGTGGGGACCCCAAATTTGCACGCAAATTCAAACCACAATGATAGGTTAGTTCAGTTACTATGAGACAGACTGTAACCCCATTGGCCACTGACCACTGACATAAATATACAATCTTTTTGTGTGTGTGCTACAATCTCATTGGCCACCTGTGTGTGACCAGGCTTGACCACATGGATTTTGCCTTTAAAAACTGTAGCTTGTGGGCCGTTTGGGGTTGCAGTTTCAGCTCCCAAGTCTGCGCTGCATCCCAGGCCGGTCAGCTATCCACTTCCCCAATAAAGTCATCTTTTTTACACGAGGCTGCCTCTGAGTGGTGGACTTTTCCCCATAACAGGATATTAATATAGACATGTTCTTCAGTTCTTCCCATAAGCTGATTTCCCCCATCAAACTGAATGATTGCTTATGTATTTTTTCTTTAAGTATAATATATAAAAAGTATATAAGTCGCCAAGTGTATAGCTCACTAAATTTTCATTTTGGATACAAACATGTAACAGTACATGTAAGATTACCCTATTATCTTCCCCTCCTTCTAGTCCTCTACCCTTACTCCCCCTATCCCCACCAAAGGTCTGTGCCTTTGTTAGTTAGAGGGAAAGCAGATGTTAAAGATGACTAAACTGTGAGCCTTGGCTTTTAACAGCCACATGGTCACATCATACTTGGCCTCTTTAGTCCTGAGAGGAGATGCAAAAAAATACAATCTAGGCCAGAGAGGTGACAGCTTGGGAAGGGGTACCGATGTGTCATGTCTGGATTTTAAGGAAAGCTAATGAAACTTGGCCTCAAAACCAGTAGGATTTCAATCTCACCTGTGATACAGTGAGAAAACAGAGAAGTCACATTTTGAAAGATCAAATCAGAAGTCTTTATTAAAAAGCCAAAGACTGCATGTGGATTCCTGTCTCAAAGAACATTAGCCAATAACTGAGCTTACACCAAGCTTTTAAAGACAACTGAAAGATTAAACGAAAGATTATTAGACTTTGCCAGAGAACCACACAGATATCAGGTACAGAGAACAAAGAAAGGTTTATTGCCAGGAAAGGGGGCTGGCAAGATTCCTTCTCACAAGGGAGAAGTGAGACAAAGCCCTGGCTATTGTCTGAGGTGATGTATATAACCTAGGAGGTTTAGGAGGAACTAGAAGGGGCTAGGAGGCAGAGACCCCAGTGTGGACGTATAGGCCAGGGGCTTTCATCATGGTGGACTAAGATTTATGGCTGCTATCCAAATAGTAAATAAGGGGTCCTGCAAATGCCTAGACCTGAAAGTCATTCTAAGGGGCTCTTGTTGCCTTATATGGTGGTAGCTGCCCCAGAGAAGTGCCATCCCAAGGTAAAGAGGGTTGGAAGTTGATTATTTACTGCCTTTACTACATGGGCCTAGTGTTGCCTGTGAAGGGAACAAGCTTTGGAGAAGGGAAGGAGTGGACTAAGCTATGGGAAGGGAGCTCATTTCACTAACAACAACCACACATTTGAGATGGAGACCAAGCCTTAACAAAAGCAGATGTTATATGTACATACATACTCAGGTACAAGCTCAGGTACCAGCAGAATTTATTTTATTGTAAAGATGCTGTACAGATGGGTTATAGTTAGCATGAGTAAGACAATGAATGCATTTCTTGTCAACATTGTTACCCACTCCTTTTTCTCCCAACTATTCCCCCTCCTCTCCTTCCCCCCCCTCCCCACAAGTCGTGAAGTTATTTTCCAACATAGTGTCTTCTGAGTATCATTGTTGCATTGGGTCATCTCTTGCCTTGTTTCAGCATTTTGTTATTCCCCTTCCCTTCCCCAAATCAGACAAATATATACATAAGATGCAGGGTACCAGAATCAAAGACAGTGATTGCCAGTGATGGACCAATGGCAAAAGCAAAATAAAGTAAAAAGAAAGAACTAGATACAGTACAGTGACATGGTTAACCACCAAAAAAAAAAAAAAAAGACCTGTTGTTTCCATGTCTCAAATTTCATTTCAATTAGCCTGACTCTATATGGTCATATGTACTGAAGGAGGAACCCACACATCCATCCCAGGGGACCATGCAGAGGCAGGCAGGCACAGGAGAAAAATTATTATAAGGTTTATTAGAGGAGCGATATTTCCCCCAAGAGGGAGGACATGGCCTCCATCCCCATCCAGGTAGCAGGAGGGTCTGAGGGAAAAGGAAGTAGGTAGGTGGGAGTTCAGGTGGGTCTGGGTGGAGAGTGGGAGAGGCCATCTGTATGGCGGGAACTCCAGGAATGGGAGAGGGCCCAGGTGTGGGTGGAGCTGAGGACCAGAGGAGAGCATAATACTAACATGTACCAGCAGAATTTTTATGTCTAGAGAAGAAACACTTCAACCTTCCAGATAGGGGAAATCTTAGAGGCAACTCAGAGGTGGGCGATTCAAGCCATTCAGGGAGGTAACTAACACAGAATCAGAGTATTTTTTTTTCTCCAAAGCTTTCCTAAGGCTATGACGTCTGCATTTCTCTGAAGCAATGCTATCCCAGCTCACCTTGAGCTGGGCATCTGCAGGCAATGAATGGCCTCTCTCATCTCCAGGCTTTTTAGCAATCAGCAAGAAGCAACAGGATGGCTTTAAGAAGTTACTTAGACTCAGCCTCCTCACTTCAAAGCTGAGCAACACAATCATCTGGGGACCTTTAAAAACTTTCCTCCCTATACCTCAACTATGTGAACCAAAGTCCCTGGGGCGTGGTATGCTTAAAGTAGTGTTTTTAAGGTCCCCTGAATGACCGTTATAGTTAGCCCTGTTGAAAACCATCACCCTAAACACATCTACTGAGAGAAGAGATGAAAGAATTCCTTCTAATGGGCTTTATCTTCTTTTGCAGTAGAGAACAATCTACTAGGAATAAAAGATGTAAACCAGGTGCTGATAGTTCACACCTAGCTACTTAGGAGGCTGAGAACTGAGGACTGTGGTTCAAAGCCAGCCCAGGCAGGAAATTCTATGAGACTCTTATCTCCAACTAACCACTGGAAAACAGAAAATGGAGCCGTGGCTCAAAGTGGTAAAGCATTAGCCTTGAGCAAAAAGCTCAGGGACAGCACCCAGGCCCCAGGACCGCATGCCCACACCCCCACCCCCAAAAAATGTTAATGGCAGGTACTAATGACCAGGTACTACTGGTAAGTTTGGTGGTCTAAAATGAAAGTAAAAGCACTTAAGACTGACTGTGTGAGGATGGAGTCTAATGTGACCAGGGTTGCCAAGGACTGATGAGGTGATCTGGAAGGGTAAGATAACCAATGGTCTCCAGAATGGGCAGGTCTACAAATGTAGAGGATGTTAGCTGCTGTTGTTTACCTGCTGAGACTACAGATGTTAAATACATGATAATACAGCTACTGAAGCCAAGGTCCAAGGATGGCCAAAGCAATGCAGAATGAAACATGCTGTCTGAGAAGCTCACCTGGGGCAAAAAGAAGTAGGCTAAGACAGGCAGAAGCTGTGATTAAATCGGGGTGGGAGCATGTGAGCCGACAATATCATTTCTAGGGTACTGACTGCCACTGTGACTTCCCATTTTCTGATTCTAACTCAGACTAGCATAGAAAAAGTACTATTTCTATGTGAGACTGCATCTTCAGAGGCAGGGAACAAACATTTAACCAGGATTAAACAAAAAAAAGGTGACAGATGTATTGTTAAGGGGATTTG